GCTAACAAGCATGATGTCATCATCGTGCTACAAACATAAACAATAGTCACTGCTAGCCACTGCTAATGCTTCTTGAGATAGTATTTAATATCTAAATTCAATATGTTTCATAAAAAAACAATGTGGGTGGTACCTGTGGTCCAGCAGTTTGAACTGCAGCTCAGACACCAGCCATAACTGCAAGTTTGATGTCTTGTAGGGAAGCTTTAGCCGCTTTGGAGCGCTAGCGGTTGCTATTGTCTCAGGATGATGATGTCACAACATGAGTCGAACTAACAGCAAAGGCAACGTTCCATTCCAAAATACCTAAATGCAAACGTCAACATTTAAGGTTTAACTTTTACATTTAGATTTAAACGTTTAGATTTAGGATTTAATATTTAAATATAGTTTCAATATTAAAATTGAACCTTCAGTAAAAATTTGCAAAATGTAGGAACAGTTAGCTAAATAACAATAAAATGTTGGTGGAAATGTTTTAACGATCAAAAAATGAGCTAGATAATGAAAAATATGTTAGTGAAACTTATCAACATTTCATTTTACACACAGTGCCCCATATTATTTTTGCTAATTGTTGTGCAACTTTATTCCAGCAAACCCACATCAATAAACTCTTGGCTTAGCTTGCTAAACTTCTGTCCATTGTGAGTTATTGTTTGAGGAAACAATCTTGCTTTGTTAGACAATAAAACATGTTGAGTAAGAAGTTTTTACGACCATTCTAGCTTACAAGGAAAAAACCTATATAAATCTATCATGCCATGCTGTTAATTGTTAATATTACTTTTGAATATACACCTTTGTATGGATTTTACACCATGGCAGTTAATTTCCTACCTTGCCAAAATTAGTCAGGCCGTTGTGCTGAGGAGTTTCTGATTCAGTGTCGACCAGCCAGTTGTCCGACCTGACCAAAAGAAAAAGTGAATTTTTGAATCAAGCACAATAATATCCTTAAAAAAACATTTATATGCTTCTGTAACACATTATTTCCACATATTTCTACCTGAATCATTGTACTTTTTCAAAGAAAGCTTAAATTTTCATTTGGACATTTTTCCATTTGAAACAGGGTGTGCGTTATAAGAATAATGTGTACAGTATATCGCATGTACTGTAGTTTTATAGTGACTTATTCAGGTTTTCACACACAGTTGATTCCATTCAGAGCAACTTCAGGTTCAGAGTCCTGTTTAAATGTCAACCTGCTCTTCAGTCAAAATGACCCACTACAGGCCCAAGATACCTTCTGGGTCATTTTGATCCAAGCGCAGCAGGAGGGTTAATGATATCTCTGTGACCTCTGACTGAATCGTTGTTTAATTAAAAATCTAATTAATCAAAGCCAAACGAAGTAATCTGATATGGTGGCAGAACAGGCCTGCAGGAAATCCCCGTAATGTCCTCACTGAAACTTAATCTCATTTAAAGATGGGGTTACATCTGGCTTTATTAGAAACAATAAAAAGCTTCTTTTTTTAACGAAAATATTAAGTTACAGTGAGAGTAAATATAATTTAGTTGAATTTGTTTTACTTTAAATGCAAAAAAGTACTAAATTTWAGCTGTTTTTAGTCTACGATTTGGAAACAATAATTTAAAGACAAAATGTTCATTTATAAAAAAAACTACTTCTGAGAGGTTTTTTTCAAGTTTTAATGTTTGATGCTCCTTTTTAGGCATTAAATGTGGTGTGATAGTAGTCGAGAGCCCAACACCAATTGAAAGCTACGTAAAAGTCCAAGACGGCCACCAATGCTAACAGAAATAAGACTGTAATTCAGCCATTTTTTTACAGCTAATATTTTTAGTGGTAGTAGCTAAAAATAATCTCCAAACTATGTTTTAAATGAACCGAACAAACACAGCGTGTTACATCGTCATCTGAAAAAATGTTCAGATTATTTTTTGTTTCCATTTAGCTTCTTTTGGCTCATTTCTGCTCTCTTCTGTCCACTTTTATTCGTGTTTTTTTTTTCAGCTTCTTCTATGCTGTTCTTAGATTTCAGCTCTGCGTCAGCTTCTCCAGAAAATTTCAACAGTCTTTCAYCTATATTTTGGGCTAAAACTTGTTCAGTATAGATTCAACTATAGCTCTTGAAATATTTCAGATTTCAGCAAAATCATTCAGCAATCATTAACATTCATTTTCACAACAAAAGCAACATTTTTTTTGGTTTAATATATAAACCAAAACATTTGTCTTTTTAATATTTATGAGTTATTCTTTTGTATCAAAACCAATAAATGTGTGTGATTTCAGCTGTCTGCTCTCACCAGGGTGTGTTGCAGGAGTGRGTGAGTGTGAGGTAGCGGACCCCCAGCTGGTACATGGTGCGCAGGGTGGCCAGGCTGCTGTCGATGGAGTGACCCCCCTCCACCCCGATCAGACTGGCGGTCCTGTTGGACCTGAAGGCATCGAGGATGTCTGCACAAGRATAAGTGTTAGAGCAGTAAAACCCAAACATTGTTTAACTGTAGGAAATATAAGCCCCACCTTGTCTGCTGGTGGCGAACATGAAAGCTCGTGGGTAAAMCTGACACATCCTGTGGATCACATCAATCTGCTCCAGAGTTTGTCTGACAGCATCTCTGTACTGAGCTCCACAGGGAACGTAGGCCGACCAGAACTGAGGGAGAAACAGGTGAGGATGAGGAGGAAATCTCTTCATCTTCGTCTCTTTCAGGCAAACAAAGCAAAACRGGAGTGAAAAAAGGAGCAGAACACTCGCTGGAAGATTAGCTAAACACCTACAAGTCACAAAAGGCTGTCCAAAAGCCTAAAGGAGCAAAATACCAGCTAAAAGCTAAAAGTAGCAAAAGATTAGCTAAACAATAAAAATAACAAAAGGCCGGCTGAAAGACAAAAATAGCAAAATACTGGCTAAAAGCTAAAAGTAGCAAAAGTTTAGCTAAACAATAAAAATAACAAAAGGGGGCTCAAAACCAAAAATAGCAAAATAGCTAAAAGTAGCAAAAGATTAGCTAAACAATACAAGTAGCAAAAGACTGTCTAAAAGCCAAAAGTAGCTGAGCACTAGCTAAATGCTAGAGGTAGCAAAAAATTATCTAAACAATACAAGTAACAAAAGGCCAGCTAAAAGCCAAAAATAGCAAAGTACTGGCTAAAAGTAGTGAAATATTAACTAAACAATACAAGTAACAAAAGCATACACTAGCTAAAAGAAGCAAAAGGTTAGCTAAACAATTCAAGTCACAAAAGGTTGTCTGAAAGTAGCAAAACACCAGCTAAAAGCTTAAAGTAGCCAAAGGTTAGCTGAACAAACAACTTAAGGCTGTCTAAAAACCAAAAAGTGCCACCCCCCAAAAAACTTAAAGTAGCTAAAGGCTAAAGTTTAGGTTAGATTAGATTAGATTAGATTAGATTAGATTAGATTAGATTGATAGACCTTTATTGTCATTGTACAGAGCACAATGAAATTACAGTTCAGAACACCCATTCAGAAGAAGACAGAACATAACAAACAGAGGAGAACAGGTGCCCTGGGTCATYCAGCCACAGACCCCTGCACAGAGATCATCTTCATGAAGACATCATGAGGAGGTGCAACCCTTAAAAGAAAAACTAAAAACCACACAAGGGAAGGTGAGGAAAAAACAAAACAAAACATCATATTATATCAACAATGTGACACACTATGATGTTTATTTTAAAAAACACTGCATAGAGCATGTATTAAAGTTGAGTCAAACACTGAAAAAGCTGAAAAAGCTTAATGTTGGTGAATGATAGCTAAAAACTAAATAAGAAAACAAAAWAGAACATATTTGCCAAAGCAGATAGAAAAAAGAACAAAGTACTTTTTAAAAAATATGGTAACATAACAAAACTGAAATTCTTTTCTGGCTTTTAATTTGTTGTGATTATKAGCTCTCCTCCTCTGAAGGTCCTCYCTGATTTCTGCAGCTTTTCGGAATCAGATATTAAAGATTGAAATCATCTCATCTTTAAAACTCTACCTGTGCACCAAGTCGTCCCTGCTGGATCTTTTCGATGTTGGTGTGAGTTGTTGACAGATTCTGCAGATTCACTTCATGGAGCTGATTGTTAAATTGCTTTCGAAGCTGCCATGGCAGATCATTGTGGCTAAAAAAATTACAAAATATATTTCAGAAAACAAATATTACAATCTGTATAATTGATTTCTTATCCAGGTGTTTTTTGCTTTCTTTGGTAATAAAGCAAACAGTAGATACCAAATAAAGTTTTATAAAAACAAATTAAATTAAATTATRAGAACTTGCCCATCGATGAGCGGCGTCTCAGACATCAGCATCAGAGCTCTGGTCATGTTCTGGTCCTCAGCTCCAGTCATGGCACAAAAACTGAACCACAATCCCAAACAAACTAACACAAACTTTGTCATCATTTCTTTAAAACAAAACTAGAAATGAGATTAAAAAATGTTATTTTTGAGTTAGTTTTTGCACATATGCAGCTATAGATGAAGCTTCTGTTGAAAATCTGCTCCTCTTCAGTCCCGGCTCAGTTTTATGATGAACGTAATAAAAGCAGCACATCAGCTTAACGATTATTACAATACCTGGTCAGTGCATCTTGGTTAATATATAATTTGCATCTTGTTAAAAAGTAAGCAACTTGTTGACATGTGAATGTTTGAGTGAGCCATACAAAACAATCCGGACACAGCTGTGGGACTGATTAGCTTTTGTTTTAATCTGCCTACGACAGGCATCAGCCAAACATCCAGAAACAAACCTCTTCGSATCCTGACTCCGCCTCATGACATATGTTAAGGGGTGTGGAATTATGAGGCCTTAAATTTACTCTTCTATGCTTTATTTAGCATAAGCAGTGTTGAGTTAATCTAGCAATAAAATTGGTTCAATTATTATATCTATCTGATTTTGCTTAKCACCATTTTATATTTAGTGGCCAGTGTGAAAGCTTTAACAAATAGTTTATTTCCTCATAAGAAAAAGAGACAATAAAATGCCATAGATTGTAAAAGAGGAAGTCAATGTTGCAGCTGTGTCTTTAGAACAGTCAGAGTGTCACCATATAAGGAAATGAGTTTTGTGCATCTGTTCTGAGCAGTGTCAGATACAGGAAGTTGTGGTAACAGCTAAAAAGTTCCAGCATGAGGAAGTAACTTCAGACAATCTGGGATGCTTTGCTTGATAGTTTGGGGTGATGTGTTATTTCAAATTCTATTGAAGATTGTCTCCCAAGATGCATCTTGGTTTTAAGCTGCAAACGCATGAGTATGATTCTCTCTGCTTTGGTTAATAAATATTGTTAAACTTTGAGGTATTTCTCTYAATGGTCATTCTTCATCAAAGAGCCGGGTGAGGTGAAGGTAATGGAAGGAGTTTTCCTCGCCTCAACAAAATGGTGCCYTGACCCGGATGAAGGTTTGACCACAATCTGACCTTAATTCGACTGATCTCTTTGGACATGGAAGAAACTTAGCGCGCCACTAAATAAAAGGTAAGTAGAAAACCTATTTGTATTTGAAATACACAAATCTCTGCATTAATTGGAGCAAACCTGAAACTTTATCCTGAAGTGTCCTAACAGATTAGTCTGTAAATTAAAGGAGAAGAAAACACAATGCAGAAGTAAAATCAAATGAAGTAGAAAAATGGGATTAAAGGTCCGCTGTTTTAAAAATACTGGCCTGAAGTTCAGTGTAAAAAAATGGTTAAGTGCATTTGGGTTGGTTAAAGTCCAGTCCATCGTCCGGGATTTGGGAAAAGCTCCTAGGTGGAAAAGGTTGGACGACACCGAGACACCACGGGGACAAACAAAACTAAGGTAAGCAGTACCTGTTTACTCAAACACTGCAGATTTGGCTTAGACATATAGGCAAACTTTTCTCMGTGTCATTCAACTTTGGGTAATTTAGAAAATTCAAGGATTCCAGTGGGAGGGTAACTTCCGAAAACAGTACGTACTGTCCGAGCCGCCGTGATGAGGCACTATTTCTCYACGGGGTAATTAGAGAGGAGGGGAGGAGAGCTCCCCTCTAGTCAAGCAAACAACAAGCTTGGACTTTCTGATGGACCCTCCTCTCCAGAACCCCTGAATAGATCTTACCAGGGAGGCTCAGAAGTGTGACCCCCTATAGTTGGAACACACACTGCAGTCCCCCTTTTTAAATAGGTGGACCACCACCCCGGTCTGCCAATCCAGGGGAACTGCCCCCGATGTCCACGCGATATTGTAGAGTTGTGTCAACCAACGCAACCCCACAAAATCCAGAGCCTTAAGGAACTCAGAGGGGATCTCATCCATCCTTGCCACCAAGGAGCTTTTTAACCACCTCAGTGACCTCAGCACCAGAGAATGGAGAGTCAGATCCAGGGTCCTCAGGCTCGGCTTCCTCATGGAAAGACGTGTTGGTAGGATTGAGGAGGTCTTCGAAGTATTTCGCCCACCGACCCACAATGTCCCGAGTTGAGGTCAGCAGTGCACCATCCACACCATAAACAGTGTTGGTGGCGAACTGCTTTCCCCCACTTAAGACGCCGGATGGTGGACCAGAATCACCTCAAAGCTGTACGGAAGTCTTTTTTCATGGCCTCTCCAAACTCCTCCCACACCTGAGTTTTTGCTTCAGCGACCACCCAAGCCGCAATCCGCTTAGACTGCTGATACCTATCGGCTGCTTCTGGAGTCTCACAGGCCAAAAAGACCCGATAGGACTCCTCCTTCAGCCTGACAGCATCCCTCACCGCCGGTGTCCACCAGATCTGGTCAGGACTGAGTCCAGGTCTCAGGCTTGAGTCCAGGTCACATCTGGTCAGGTTTGAGTCCAGGTCTCATCTGGTCAGGTCTGACTCCAGGTCTCAGGTTTGAGTCCAGGTCTCATCTGATCAGGACTGAGTCCAAGTCTCAGGTTTGAGTCCAGGTCTCATCTGGTCAGGCTGAGTCCAGGTCTCGCGTCTGGGTCCAGGTCTCATCTGGTCAGGTTTGAGTCCAGGTCTCATCTGGTCAGGCAGGTCTCACCTGGTCAGGTCTGAGTCATGGGATCAGGTCTGGGTCCAGGTCTAATTGGTCAGGTTTGAATCCAGGTCTCATCTGGTCAGGTCTGAGTCCAGTTCTTAGGTCTGGGTCCAGGTCTCATCTGGTCAGGCTGAGTCCAGGTCTCATCTGGTCAGGTTTGAGTCCAGGTCTCATCTGGTTAGGTCTGAGTCCAGGTCTCATCTGGTCAGGTTTTAGTCCAGGTCACATCTGGTCAGGTTTGAGACCAGGTCTCATCTGGTCAGGCTGAGTCCAGGTCTCATCTGGTCAGGTCTGAGTCCAGGTCTCCGGTCTGGGTCCAGGTCTCATCTGGTAAAGTTTGAATCCCGGTCTCATCTGGTCAGGTTTGAGTCCAGGACTCATCTGGTCAGGTCTGAATCCAGGTCTCATCTGGTCAGGTCTGAGTCCAGGTCTCATCTGGTCAGGTTTGAGTCTGTGAGGATTCTGGCAGGAACAAACCCAGGTTGCAGGCTGGCTCAAAAGTATAACAAAAATTTATTTTTAAATAACAAAAAGAGGGCTGCTGGCAGCAAACTTACAGAAACTGAAGTATCACAGGCACGAGGGGAACAAAGCACGAGGAACCAGAACCAACACATGAAACACAACAATGATCCGACATCAGACTGAGACAGGACAGGGTTTAAATACACAGACTACTAATTACTAAACTGAAAACACCTGGTGAGAAACACGAGGGTGACAATCAGACAGACAGGGAGCAGCTGAGCTGTGACACACTGGGGAACACTGAAAACACTAGAAAACTAAGAAAATAAACACAGATCCTGACAGAGTCTAGGTCTCATCTGGTCAGGCTGAGTCCAGGTCTCATCTGGTCAGGTCTGAGTCTATGTCTCATGTCTGGGTCCAGGTCTCATCTGGTGAGGTTTTAGTCCAGGTCACATTTTTTCAGGTTTGAGTCCAGGTCTCATCTGGTCAGGTCTGTATCCAGGTCTTAGGTCTGGGTCCAGGTCACATCTGGTCAGGTTTGAATCCCAATCTCTTCTGGTCAGGTCTGAGTTCTGGTCTCAGGTCTGAGTCCAGGTCTCAGGTCTGGGTCCAGGTCTCTTCTGGTCAGGTTTGAATCCAGGTCTCATCTGGTCCGGTCTGAGTCCCGGTCTCATCTGCTCAGGTTTGAGTCCACGTCTGGGTCCAGGTCAAATCTGGTCAGGTTTTAATCCAGGTCTCAGGTCTGAGTCCATTTCACATCTGGTCAGTTCTGAGTCCCGGTCTCATCTGGTCAGGTTTGAGTCCAAATCACATCTGGTCAGGTCTTAGTCCCGGTCTCATCCAGTCTGGTTTGAGTCCAGATCACATTTGGTCAGGTCTGAGTCCAGGTCCAATCCGTTTGTCAATCTCCTGCTCCATTCTTCCCTCATTAGTGAACAAGAACCCGAGATACAAAAACTCCAACACTTTGGACACGACCTCCTCCCCGACCCAGAGAAAGCATCCTACCGTTTTCCGGCTCAAGACTACGGTCTCAGATTCGGAGGCACTGGTCCTCATCCAGGCAGGCAGAAGGCAGGCAGAAAGCAGGCAGGCACAAGGCAGGCAGAAGAAAGGCAGGCACAAGGCAGGCAGGCAAATTGTAGGCAGGCAGAAGGCAGACAGGTAGAAGGCAGGATGGCAGAAGGCACGCAGGCAGGCACAAGGCAGGCAGACACAACGCAGTCAGGCAGAAGGCAGTCAGACAGGCACAAGGCAGGCAGGCACAAGGCAGGCAGGAACAAGGCAGGCAGGGACAAGGCAGGCAGGCACAAGGCAGGCAGAAGGCAGGCAGGCAGAAGGCAGGAAGGCAGGCAGGAACAAGGCAGGCAGGGACAAGGCAGGCAGGCACAAGGCAGGTAGAAGGCAGGCAGGCACAAGGCAGGCAGGCACAAGGCAGACAGAAGGCAGGCAGGCACAAGGCAGACAGAAGGCAGGCAGGCACAAGGCAGACAGAAGGCATGCAGGCACAAGGCAGGAAGAAGAAAGGCAGGCACAAGGC